GAGCCAACTGCAATGGAATTTCATTTTATTATGCACTTGGTGTATAGTGTATAGTGGATTGGCAATAAAGTTATAAAGTTATTATTCTCTCAATCTTCATCATAAACAACAGGGCCACTGCAAGCAGGTGTGAAAGTTGTACACTGCGCAAAGGTGCCATGACATGGGGGGGGGCACCAAATTAAGTTTTAAAAATCAATTCTCCATTCCAAACACCAACCTTACAGCAGATTTCACTTCTTCCGAAACAAGTGCTGTATATCAATTCAGAGAAACCATATATATTGTACAATCTGAAACTAAGAGCGCCACTAACATCTTCCGGTGCACATATTGTTACAGTTCCAGGAAGGTCAGCCTAATATGAGCTGTGCCAAACACCCATCTGTCTTTCCGTTGGTTCTCTAAGTTAAAGCTTATTGCAAACTTCCTGTCTAGTCTTAACCACTGTCCTGGTTCTCAATAAAAACATTAACAAATAAAATGATTAAGTGGAGAGGCAGCAAAAAACATTTTGCATAAAAGAGCCTTACAGGTCAGTGGTGGCCCTGATAAATGATCAAATCAATCATCCTTTTGAATGCATTCCTTTTCTGTGAATAGACATATCATTAAAAAACAGACTTTTTTCTAAGCAGAAATTAACCAATCAATCATCATTCCCATTCATTCTTGGGTCTTTGAAAAACCCAATCACTTTTTCTGTACTCACATGTCTTGTCCCACCCAGCCATTTATGTCAGCCAACAGAATAAATCTTTCCCCTGGATTGCATTCTTTCCAAGCATAGCACATTTCTTCCCCAGATGCATCTCTGGTTCTTCCATTATCACCATTCACTGGAGCATAACATGCAATTATCACCAAAGTATCACTTTGTTGTATAGACATCCGCAAGAATCAAAATGACACCAATTCATGCTTTCTGACATATATTTAGCCCTTTCATTCATAATTATATCAACCCATTTACTTCCCTGCATGTATTAATGAATTCTACTCCACAAGATCAGATCACCTCTATTTCAATCTTTTATATCCTTCCCCTTTCTCTTATTTCACAGATACACAACAAATCTATTTTCCTTTTTCCCCATTTCTTAATGCATGCTCTTTATCATCTATTCCTCTTCCATTCCAAGTTGCAAACTTCCATATATTATAGCTATCACCATATGGGACCATGGATACTGATCTCTGCCACCCATCATGACTTTAGTTAGCTAAGGCTTTAATGTAGCACATTTACATAGGACTTTCATATTGTTGTTTTCTTTGGCTATAACATCATGATCAATTATTCTTCCACAGAATGCTTTTTAAGTAAGATAGAAAAGGTATAAACCAGGTTGCCAGTCAGTTTTGAGATATTGTGATCTGTTTGCCGCAAGTGCAACCAAAGTCCAATTCTACCCCAAACAGGCTCATGATATTCTGTGCGAGGCAGGATCTTGATTATAGAGACTCTGTTGCAAGTTTAGTAGTTTGGAATATGCAAGGGAGATATAAAACCAACGAAATGACATATAGTGATATATAGTGATTAGTGGCAGGTAAGGATGGCCATGAAGATTTTATGGCCAACCCCCAACTTTAACCCATTTTTCTGCAACATGAGAATGAAGTAGGAGGTTAGAAGGACCGTGTATTCTGCCTTGATTGCCATGGGGGAAGGGCAGTTTATTAAAAAAAAATACATTATTTACATTCAGTATTTTTTTTCAACTATCATGTATTATTATACCAGCCATGAAGAGAACCTTTTCTTCCAATTCATAATTGGTCTGCTGTCCATCATGATCACAGAGCTAAATATTCTTAGCCATGGCAACTGGAAAAATGTCCACTATGAACTTTCTAGGAGGAGGAGAACAGACTTTACTTGCAAAGGCAACCAGCCAAACAAGTGGCAGTCAGATGCAAGAAATAGCCAGGTTGCCATATCAACAATTCCTAAAGTATGATGAAATTTAGAGGAAAATTTGCTGTAGACAGTTCAGTGTCTTAATTAGCTTTTGGCCCCCAATTCAGTGAATATACAGCTAGGTTGTGATTAATGCGAGTTCAAACAATGCGATATTTGATTTAGTGCGATTGTAAATTGATACCTAGTCGTGTTTAACATGAACCAGTATGCAGTTAATGCAAGGCTGGCACGTGCGCAGTTGAGGTTACCAGGTTACCATTGGGGGTTTAGACACTGCTACTTGTTTATCTTTGTGTGTGCAAAATAGATAAAAGGAAGATTCCTTCCAATGAAAACACTAGAACAGTGTTTCTGAACCTTAACAACTTTAAGATATGTGGACTTCAACTTCCAGGATTCCCCCCCCCCCCCCGCCTGCGGCGGGGGGGGGGGG